ACGGTTCTCAATAATTATTTATTACAGGTTTTAAATGGAAACATCAGATTCACAAGTACTACTGAAGCATGCACATTCTATAAGTTGTTAATTTTGTATTTCTTCTTGATTTTCTCCCTTTTCATAATTCAATGGTTAGCACGACCTTGAATCTGATTTATAATAGTTCCTACAAGACACTCACTCAAGTGGGGGAGCTTTTTAATAATTGAAAAAAGTAGGAGTCAATATAATTCACAGGTGGTCTTAAATGTTATGATATTTTGATTTGTAGTCCTTTACATATCTTATTAATTATGACTTCTTTACAATAATTTTAAAGGTAGTTTGCATTACCTAAATATGAGTACTCACCAATTGATATTTAAAAAGAAAGAAAATACAAAGAGAAAAGAAAACCAAGCTTCAAACAGAAACCGTTCATTAAATACTTACCAAGATCTGAGAGAGCCACACTGAACTAGGTGTGTGTGATCACCTAAGACAGTAACGTACCTCTAGCCTTAAAGAGTCTTGAATTGCCTTGATTTAAAAGTGGTATATACAAAGCTACTTAAAATGTAGCAGATAAATCCTACCTGAGAATGGTACATCTCTAAGAATGGTAGGAGCCCAGCCCCTCCAGAGGGAAATCCAACCATCTTCAGATACTTTCTTGCTGACAAATCGATGTAGTTCCTCATAAGAAAACTTCTTAGATTGCATCTTGGTTCTAATCAATTCCAGTGGACTTATTACAGTCACTGCGCCAACTGGTACAAAACAAGCGAATACAACAAAAGTAAAGCCATGCATTATGAAGACATGCGTGCAGAAATGAGTATTTCATGCATTTTTATATTTTAAAATTTTATTCTGAAATGTCTTCAAACTGTACCTAGTATCTAATGATGGCAACATCCTGGCTCAGATTTTTTTCCTTAATAAAGGTATTTCACATACCTTACTCTTTCAAGAGCAGTTCCACAGCCATTATACATCAACCAGGACTATTATAAACCTCACTTCCACTACACAGAGAAAAATGTCCTTCTGATTAAACTCTGAATCTTAAAGTGTATACAGAAAATGATTAAAGACTCTGGCATTAATTAGACTCTGTATTATTATCCTAAAATCTAGAATCTAAGGTCTACAGTCTCAAATCTAAAAACTCTGTCCAAGAATTAACGGGATAGGTTGATCCCGTCCTGTTCTGATGGCAGTCACCACACAATATGACCGCTAGAGCATAGGTATTAACATATGAGGACGAACTACAATGCAAAATAAATCTTTACCAATACTCTATTTGAAATTCTCTATAAATGTAAAAATGTTAAAACAAGCTATAAGTAGAAATCAGAATGAAAATATTGTGAATTTATTACTTACGTCTGGCCACGATTCCAGCAACAATTGGTATGCGGCTTTCATTTTCTCCTAATTTAGATCTCAGAAGAGCAGTTAATTGATCATAGCAGGTAAAATAAATAACTGTGGCAGGGACTGCCATCACTCTGTTAGAAACATACAAACAAAAAGATTTGCACAACACTATCAAAAGGCTTAAACATACTCTTAAGTTATTATTAAGTACAAGACACAGTGTGTAGTGCACGTGTGCCCTGTCATGTCAGGCTCTGAGACCCCATGGGCTGTAGCCCGCCACGCTCCTCTGTCCATGGGATTTCCCAAGCAAGTGTACCAGGGTGGGCCGACATTTCCTTCTCCGGGGGATCTTCCTCACCCGGGGATCAAACCCACTTCTCTGTGTCTCCTGCCCTGGCAGGTGCGTTCTTTATACCAACTGCACCACCCGGGAAGCACAAAATGAAGATGCTTCTACTTTACAGAAGCTGAAAACCACAACAAATCAGCTATGTGATCAATTTTTCTTAAACGATTATCAGTGTTTAACTTAGACAACAAAAAGATGCAAAGTAGGTTTCTGCTCTCCAGAGATTTGTAATGTAGTACAGAAGATAAGTTTAGAGCACCCAGTCAGGTCATAAATATGAAAAGACAAATAAATCGTCTTGACTTATTCTGTGTCTTGTCTTCATTCCCAACTACATACATTATGGTAACATGAAAATCACTAAAGTAAAAAATCTTGTAAAAATTACTTGTAAAAAAGTACAAGCACAATTATAAAATACTTTTGAACTGTAGACCATGTCATATTTGCTTATAACTGAAAATAATGTCACCAGAATTATATATACTCAAAGCAAATTCCAATGACATTCTTTTTGTTTTCCTTTAGAATTATTTTATTAAATCATAAATGTACAACGGCTTCTTAACTCTACACACACACTTAAATTTTTTTAAAGGAAAAACATTATGTCTTATTACACTATGATCCTGGCTAATAGCTTTTCAAAACTTTGAGAAAAATCTTAAAAAAGGTTTCACATGCAATGACATTCTTTCAAATGAAAATATCAAGAGGGAATTATTAATTAAATACAAAGTGAAAAGTACTATCATGTCATCAAGATTTAACGCAACAAGAAACCAGTCTCTGTTTCTGGTCTATCACAGACTATCACAGACCACACGTGGCAATGCCTAATACTCTACAGTGAAGTGTGATGAGAACTCAGGAACAGGACTGACTGCTGCTCCTGGATCTATCAGCAACCTTATAACCTTAGGCACTGTTTAGAGTATGTGCCTCAAAACTGACTAATGTGCTCCATAACAAGATAAATCAGAAACAGGGTGGAGAAAGGCAAGGTATTAATTGGAATTTTTACATTCAGCCTTACTAGCTTGTCATATGAATTCACCTAATACCTAGTTAGTACAGAATTATCTGGAAAAGTAGTATAAATAGCACAATACCTCTCANTCACCTAATAGCTAATTAGTACTGAATTATCTGGAAAAGAAGTATAAATAGCACAATACCTCTCATTATTTTAGTAAAATAAAAACTCAAATGAACACTAATTTCTTAATTTCTGAACATGAAAAAATAAATGTTTGTGCCCCCAAATCGGTGTCTTTAGGAGGGCCTATCTGTCTGCCGGACCTTGGGTCATCTTCAAGGAATTTGGCCCTTGAAATGCTCCCTGTAACAAGGCTTTTCTGTATGTCTGGAGCACTAAACCAGCTTGCCTGCATTGATTTCTGCAAATGATGTGAGTTTTGGTAAAGATCTGTTTCTTTTTGGGGGGCTGGAGTTTCAGTAACCACAGCCAGTCATGAACACAGCATGCTATTATCATCAGTCCCTACTGCAAACCCTAGACTCGGATTCAAGTGCCGGGAAGACAGAACCCCTACACTTGCCGCGGCGGCCCAGCGGGCCAGGGGCTGGGAGAGGCGCAGGCGCCCTGCGTGTCACAAGGGGCGGGGGCGGGGTCTCGGGAGGACTCCGGCTGGCCAGCTCCTGTTGCGCCTTTCCCCTCACTGATTCCGCTTCGTGCCTTTTGCGGTAACAAACCACAGACATCAGTATACTTCCTGTGAGTCCTTCTAGCAAATCATCAAACGTGGGGTCGTTGTGAGAGTCACAAAACAACGCTCTAGAAAATGAAAAGTTCTGATATCAAAAATGCATGATGTGTCCCATCATACTGACAGAGCAAAACACCACCACCACCATCACTAAGTAAGAAAAATACTAAATTTCAACTTACAACGTAGGAGGAAGGCCACTCCACAGGGATTTAATGCCCTCATTTCGAATGATTTTCAAAAAAGCATCCTAAAATTGTAATAGAAAAAAAGTGGTCAAAATAAAGAAAAAAGTTTATAGTGATAATTGGTATTTGATTCTTTTAAGCATTTATTTCTAAAATAAAAGTTTCCCAGATTTATATATGCCCATTCTTTAAACAGGAAAAAAAAGAATTTTTCTCAACTTCCAGACACGAATAAAGCATTTCTAAATGACAGTGCCTGCTTACAAAATAAACCTTTATTACTCAGCTTGGGATTGTTCTACTTAGGGCTGAGAAGCAATGTATTTTGAAGATTATTATGAAAAGGAAGTGGAGGGAAGGCAGAAAGTTAGAATAACTCTCCTCTCCAATTATGAAATCTGAGAGAACATTATTTAAACCCAGTATTTGAAAGCTCTGAGGAAAAACAAAAAGCAAGTAGAAGCTAGAGGGAAGCTTGCTGTTAAAAGTCAAAGTGCCATGAACGAGGTTTGCACGTTTACAGCTTTTCGCCCACGGAAGCTGCAAGGAACAGTACATTTACCTGCTTGAGACGGCAAACACCAGAGTTCAGGCTCGTAGACTAATCAGAAAGTTAGAAGGGAAATCCTAGGAAAGGAGGCCACAGAGGACATTGCTGGTGCTGCTTTAGTCGTTCACCATGTCTGACTCTGCGACCCCATGGACTGCAGCCCTCGGGGCTCCTCTGTCCATGGAGGTCTCCAGGCGAGAACACTGCAGCGGGTTGCCGTTTTCTTCTCCAAACAGAGGACGTAAGCCCTTGAGTTTAGAGACAAAGTCAGCCACAAGAGGTGGCTCACCACTCAACTGTGCAGCCCCAGGAGAAGACAACAGAAACAAACCAGACACCCCGCGGATGGCAGACAGGGTGGGGATTTCAGCTGCAGCCCACCACAGTGGTGCCTGAGTGTGACGTCTGAATCTAGCCAAAGTTAACTGCCTTTTAGAAAGAACTGACTCTTGGCAAGAATATAAAAGAACCCAGAGTCTTTACAATGCATTCTTCATAATGTTCACTATCCAATCAAAATTCATTAGACATAAAAAGAAACAAAAGAAAAAGTCATCAGAAACCAGCACTGAGATGACTAAGATGATGCTATCTGCAGACAAGAACTCCAAAACACCTATTATAAACATGTGCAAGGGGTACAAAGATGATGGGTCCATAGTGCACGGGCAAATTTGGAATTCAGCAAGGAAATAATTACTGTTAAAACTGCCAAGTGAAAATTCTAAACCTGAAATGAGAAATTAACTAAGTGGGCTTAACAGCAGAAAGGAGGCAGCAAGGAGTCACTGAAGACAAATCTAAAATTAAATCGGAAGAAGGAAGAGAAAAAGAATGAAGAAAAATGGGAACTTCCCCATGGTCCAGTAGTTAAGACTCTATGCTTTCACTGCCAAGGGTCCAGTTAAATCCCTGGTCAGGGAATGGTGATCCAGCAACCCATGTGGCATGGCCAAATAAAAAAAAAACCAAAACCTTAGAAAAATGATCAGAGGCTCAGAGACCTGAGGGGAAATATCAAGTGGTACAGCACTAGTTTATGTGGAGTCATAGAGAAAAGGAGAGAAAACAAGAGGAAATTACCTGATGAAATGACAAGCGAAAACCTCCCTGAATGAGTGAAAGGTATCAACTGACAGGGTCCCAAATATAAAACAAACAAACAAACAAACCCAAGTGAATAAAAGACAAAAAACAGTAGAGGAAAATGACAAAATACATATAGGGAAAGGATGATTAAATGAAGACCAACTTCTCAGCAGAGATATGAAAGGCCAAAAGACAATGTAATGACACATTTAAGGTGATAAGAAAAAAAAAGCAAGCCAGAATTCTGTACGCTGCCAAATACATGTCAAAAATGCTTTATAAAGACATTTCTATAGAACAAAAACTTAGAGATTACATTGCCAAAATACCTTCAATAAAGAAATGCTGAAAGAAGTTCTTTAGGATGAAGGGTCATTGTGACACCACGTAACTACCACCTTCAGAAAGGCAGGAAGGACAAAAGAGGTGGGAAATACATGGTTACAAGTAAAATACGTATTTCTTTTTAACTATTTAAAAGACATAAGACTATTTAAATGGACAATGCTGTGAACTGTGGCATCTGTAAAGTGCTAGGATGTGCCGTCGTGAGGCAACAGCGCAGACGAAGCGGAGGTGGTAAGGGCGCCAGGACGGGAGGGGCCTGAGATCCACTCTACTTGCGAGTCAGCAAGTCGGCCTGCACGGCATCATGAGAGCCCAGGTAAAGACGAAACTCTCCGGGGTGAGACATAAAGTCCATCATCGCAGCAACAGCAGCAGCCAGAGTATCGGCACTCTGATCCCTGTATCCTGGGCCCGTTTCCACAGGCAGTGTGAAGAAGGCTGGACGACACCTGAACACACAGTGGATGCACCACAGGAGAGGAAACCTGACCTCAGGGAGTCCAAATCATTTACAACAGGGAGTAAGGATGCCTGTATCTTTCAAGGTCATTCACTCTCCAAACAGCCTTGGAAAGATGATCAGGAACAAAGGATAGACAATGCCATGCATATGAGATATGCCCAATGTGAAACACTTTTGAAGAACTGTTTGCCTAGAAATGGGAATTGAGGAATCAATATAATGTTATTAAAATTCAAACCAATAACAGGAAAGGAGGAAAAAAGGGAACAATTAGAAAAATATACAAAAATAGATTAATACTCCAACCATATGAAAAATTATATTAAAGGACTAAACTTTCCAATTAAAAGTTACAACATCAACAGCCATCTGCATACTATCTGTGGAGTCTCTAGGGCTTCCCAGGTGGTGCTAGTGGTAAAGAATCCACCTGCCAATGCAGGTTCGATCCCTGGGTCAGGAAGATCCCGAGCAGGAAATGGCAACCTGCTCCAATATTCTTGCCTGGAGAATCCCGTGGACAGAAGAGACTGGCAGTTCATGGGGTCACAGAGGGTGACAGAACAAGACAGAACTGTATCACCATCTTAGAGTAAAAGAATGGAAAAAGATAGGCTACATTAACACTACTATGAGAAATCGAAAAGCTGCAAGCTGAAAGGTGGCTATACTACATTCAGATAAAAAGACTTCAAGATAATGAACATTACCAATGACAATGAAAGAGATTTCATTATAATAAAGATGTATCAGAAAAACATATCAAGTGAATGTGTATGTTCCTAATAACTGAGGTTCAAAACCCTATGAGGCAGACCAGAGAGA